CAGTACCAGGGATCAAACTCAGGATCTTGTGCTTGCCAGGCAAGTGCTTATACCACTGAGCTATCTCCCAAGCCCTTGAATTTGGTTATTAAATCTAGAAGTCTTTTGGTGTAGTTTTTGGGGTCTCTTATGTAGAGTATCATATCATCATGTGAATAATGATGACTTAACTTCTTCCTTTCTATCTTTATTCCTTTTATTTCCTTCTTCTCTAATTGCTCTGGCTAATGTTTCCAGAACTATACTGAATAGAGTGGTGATAGTGGACATCCTTGTCTTATTCCTGATTTTAGAGTGAAATCTTTCAGTTTTTGTCTATTTAGAATGATATTGGCTGTTGGTTTGTTGTAGATGGCTTTCATCAGATTGACATAAAGACCCATCTATTCTGATTTTCTGTAGGGTTTTTATCATGAATAAGTGTTGGACTTTATCAAAACTTTTTCTGCATCTATTGAAATGATCATGTGATTCTTCATTGATATGGTGTGATTACATTTATTGATTTGCATATATTGAACCATTCTTTTTTTTTGTACATTCGTAAGATCTCTTTTTAAAAATTTTTATTAGTTCATATTTGTAGCACATAGTGATTACATTTATTATGCAGAATCAATACGTGCACATAATACATCTTAATTCCTTTAGATTTCATCCCCTATTGCTTCTGGCCTGCTCCTTTCAACTTTTAAACCCCTTTTCACTTGCAAAAGTTCTATTTCCATCATTTTCCCCTCAGTTCTTTTTTCCCCCATCTTCTTTCCTTCCCCTTCCTCCTCCGTCCCTCTGTCTTGTTCCCTCATCTGGTTGGAAAAGACCCCCCCATTTCCTATTTATCTTCTATCCTGCTCTTTATCCTAAGGGTTCTTTCAATGTGAGTTCTTCCATGCTTTCAGAGGTCTCAGGAGTAAGCATAGGTCTTAGCACATTGTTTACATTCATGGAGTTTCCATAGAGTGTGAGTTCTTTCATGTATTTGAAGCAACAGAAAAAGTGAATTCTGTTCCATATTGTTTGCATTCATAGGGTTTTTCTAGTATGAGTTATTTCATGCACATGGAGGGCATTGCAGAAAGCAAAGGCCTTACCACATTGTTTACATTCATAGGGTTTCTCTCCAGTGTGAATTCTTATGTGCATTCGGAGGTAACTGGGAGAAGTGATGGTCTTACCACATTGTTTGTATTCATATGGTTTCTGCCCAGTGTGATTTCTTTCATGCCTTTGGCAGTTACCAGAAGAAGAAAAGGTCTTACCACAGTGTTTACATTCATAGAGTTTTTCTCCAATGTGAGTCCTCAAATGCCTACGAAGGGCACTGGAAAAACCAAAAAAGGCTTATCACAGT